ATAAATGTACCTAACGGAAAAAAATCAGGTCTTAGCCTAACATCGCTGATACCGACGTTTATAATTTTATCCGTTACCGCGGTTACGCATTTTAGGCATAGGTACCTACTCTATATGCGTATGTTTTATAACATATTACAAATGCGCGTTTCGTGATCGGTCGTCGTCGGACGCGTCGAAGGTCTACCCGCGTGCACGCGAATAAAAATACATAGAATCCATTAAAATAATAATAATAATAATAATAATAATAATGATAATATTATATTGGACGACGATAGTTTTGGGGCCATTGTTGTTGCAAAGCCAACCGAGCGCGGCGTCGTTACGTGCGCRAGTGACCGACCGTGCGTGCGCGCACAAGCGTCGGGTCGCACGTTATAATATATTATAATATTATTGCGTAATGGCGTATGGGTACTCKCTTGTGCACGCGCACACACAAGCATCGCGGGTGCGCCACTGTGCCGATGCCACTGCCGCCGCGGGTAGGGCGAGCGGGTGGCCACGGCCTAAGTCGACGGCTATTGCGCGTAACTGCAAAGCGGCGGACGGCGGCCACATCGGCGACACGGCCGCCGGTCACAACAACGCGAACYAAACCCGTCGCCATGGATACGTCCGAGTGGTCGCGCAATAACGTTATAACAACAATAACGATGTTATTATTATACCATTACGACATTATAACATTATAAATACACACAAAAACGAGTGCGCTCGCGCCCACCCATATGTATGCCTATGACCAGCTAATATAGCCACAGCAGCGACCCCCTTTCGCGCAGCTCACCCACCCGCACCCATCACACGCACGCACACCGGCGGTCACCCCTCCGCCRCCGACCCGTTTGCATGCTTTCCTGCATGGCTGCCCCCGAGACCCGAAGGCCAGTGKTCGTCGAATAACATTTATTATTATTATTATTCCTCTGTCCACGCGTCCTTCTCTAGACGGAAACAAACGCAAATAGGTAATATACATATACCTTTCCACCACTGCAACGATGTACGCGCAACCCTACTTTGTCGTAAGTTAAGGACACCTACTCCTCCTCCTCCTCCTCYTCTTTCTCTATTCCTTCTCTCCCACTTCCTCCTCATCCACTACAACTGCACATTAGCCCCTCCTTTTACATATTCGATTATTATAGAATATTGCATTGAGCCCGCGTTCACATATTCCAAAAGGGGCCTTATACATTTAAACGTGTTATATTGTRTACACCGTTGATTAGTTAGATAACTCACAAGTATTTAAAGTCACCAAAAATAACTGAAAATAAGTTATGAATAATTACAAACAATCGTTCGAAATACATTTACATATTATACGTAAAAGTAGTATCAAACATTAATATTCAATAAAGATCAATTATTATTTGAAACGTATTTGACGCCGTGTCATACTCTGCACGAGGATTCATTCGTGTACATTCGATTATGATGTGTATTGTGTAGGTAATTTATTAAGAATCCTAAAAATTCTTGTCGTTGGCACTTAGTAGCTGCAGCTGATCCGACATTCCGACATTGTTATACACTATTATGCATTTTTGGTCGGCGAAACAGTATAATTATATATAGACATATTATAGTTATTATAGTTATTGGATTTAAAAGAAAATTCTGTTTTTGCGGTGCTCTTAAACTATATAATTACATAGATATGAAAATATAATATTCCTTACACGTTATAATGTGTTTGTTTCGTTTCATTTTTATTATACTATAACGGATAAATTTCTTTTGTTTTTCCTCTTTTTTTAATGTATTTTTGCTATAAATTTATAATATTTATTACTATGATTTTGCACATATTTACGACGGTACAAGTCCATAAGAAATGATGATAATTTGAAAATTGTACCTACATTCAAACTGATTCCTGAAGGCTGAACTATTTATTTAAGTGTGATTCTCCGACATACTTATATACACCGGCCACCAGTAACTTCGCAAGTGTCGAAGTATAAATGTATAATAATGTATTGAAAAGGTCTCATTTTTGATGTGGGCATTACAATTACAGAATATATAATTTCAGTTCGAACAGTGTACTTACGGTTTCCTGACGACGATTTGTTTAAATAAATAACTATGTGTAAACTGTAAAGGTTACCTATATTTTTTTCAAAGTATATATAAAATAACTTCAATCGATAGAAAAACTTGATCGGTAAATATATTTTTTTTAGACGGAAATTATTCAAACATTCGAAACTATTAATTAATATAATGCCATGTTGATATTATAATCGCTTCTTTTTTTAATTTAATTTTTATTTTTATCTCGAATTCCGAATCCCTGCAATAGCGATGTAATATATAATAATATAATAATACTATATAAAATACATATTATTACATTCTTATCTCCGCTAACCCCTACACCACAGCCCACAAACCTGCCATCATAAAGTATTGTCCGCACAGTAGTATTATATAGGTATCTGCAGCTACTATACAACTATAATAACTATATAGTCTATAACGCACGACCGCGCACCCCCGCAAATCGCATCACAATGATAATGGTAATATTATAATCGATGCGAATAATCGACTTGGCGGAGTGTATCGTAACGTCGCATTACGCAAGGCGCACGATGGGGGGGAGGGGAGAGGTACGGGCACTGCAGAATATATTATAATATATATACATATATTGGCACTATATTTTTTAGCACAATATAATATTATACTTAGGTAGATTCGCGTAATTGGACGCCCAAAGGGACACACACCGAACGCGGACGGCCGACGCGTCGTATATGCGATATTATTATTGCGGCGCCGCCACCGCGTTTTAATAATAATATACAATATCGCAATAATATTATTCAATATTATTATTATGCGCACGAAGCCGTCCGCTCCCACGTCGAAAATCGCACCCTCTCCCCCCTCCCACATGGATTTTTTTCACCTGATTTTCACTCACCCGTATTATACGCGCACTGCAAGCCGCCGCCGCCGCCGCCTTGTCCCCAGGTATATCCATCTATATGTATTAATTATACTGTGTATATGCGTGTGTAGCTGTATAACTATGTATATATTATATTATTTAATATACCTATTACCTGGTATTATAAACATTATGGTGATGCAGCATCGTCATCGCCGCCACTGCGGAAGATGCACAATAATATATTATAATACACCTGYGGCAGACAGTCGAGTTCGTTTACTGAATTCATCCTCGAGAAACAGATCGTGTGTCTCCCACGTCACGTATATATAGGTACGACACAATAAACGATTTGTGCGCTCGGGGTGGGGAGAGGGGGAGGGATGAAGAGGTTAAAAGGTTCTTATGGGGGCGTGTTATCATTTGCGAACAATTCGAAAAAGCATCAAGTCCATGGGTGCCGGGTCTTTATCATTTCGTGGAGTGCCCAAAACTTATTTTTACTTTTTTCTTTGCGTGTTCGAGCATCGCAGCGCTGGCATTAATCGACGTTCATTATAATGGCACGTCG